CTCGAAACCGAGGCCTGCAAGCGTACCCAAAGGCAACGGAGAGCCAAGATGAGTTGGTTCAGTTTGCTGCAACATCTCCTACTGCTCTTCAGTTGGTCGATGTTGGCCATGTTGCTGAGGCATGGCTGCTTCAGGACATGGAAGCGAAGCTGTCTGTAGTTCGAGAGGAAGACAAGGAAGATGCCAAGCTGGCTCAAGACTGGCTTCAGACTTTCGAGGAAAGTCGCAGCAGCTACAAGCAAGAGGACGAAGTGCTGCAGCAATGTCTGGTTGGATGTGAATCCTTCCGAAGTCATTGTGTGCCAGCTCTTACAGGAATCCTCTCTGGCCATCTTCACATTCCTGCTGAAACTCTCGGCCAGGACCGGTATTGAATACATGGCACGATAATTCATTGGCGTGATTTGGGTAGTTCAGAGATTGAGTTTTCCTGATGTAGCAGTCATGGTCTGTTCCAGATTGTGGCATCGGCTTGTGTAGCAGTGATCCAGATTGTAGTTGTTGTACTAACAGTACCAGGCGAACCTCACTGATCTGGTTCTTCCTGACAAGTAAACACTAGACTAGACTAAACACCAAACCCCATAGCCAAAGTGAAACCTTGTAAGCCTTAAGACTTAAACCTAAATGCTGAGCAAGTCTTGACCGGGTTACACCCTTCTTGACCCCAACCCTCTAACATTCAAGAATCGTGTAGCTGTATATGATTCTCTCTTAAGTGTGGGATTCAGAGGGGTAAAATGCCTTTGAAGTCATGTGTCTCCAGGACTTCCTTGCTGGCCATGGTAGAAGCACAGATCGTGCGAAGTTGCTCCAGAGTTGGCGTGATCTGAATGACATTATTTTTCACGACGACCAACCTCCATTGGATGGAGAGCTGCAGGAGCCACTGTCCAGGTGCAACCAGCTTGGTTTTTGTGTGTGCGAGGGTGAAGGCCTTCGAGCATGGCTTTTCCATGCTCGACTGACTTTGTTTCTAAAAGCAGAGTTCACTCCCAAACGGCAGAAGAAGCAGCAAAACATTCACGGCATCATGGTTCCTGTGGATCCTGGGTTTTGTTTGGCAGTTGTATTATTGTCGTAGGTCTAGGTGGTTTATATTTTCGGAGTTTTTGAAAGAAGAGCCAAATGATAGGGCTGATAGGGCCTGATTGGGATTCTTTTCAATCCTTCTCCTTTCCCGATAGCGACTCAGGAGCTGGCTGCATCGGAGAAGCCAAAGCAAGCCAGGCTGCAGCAGAACAGGAAATTGCTCAATGATGCCTTCATTGTTCTGAGACTTCGAGTGAAGCCTGAAGAGGATTTCGCATTTCCAGCTTCCAGCCACCCCAGACCTTTGCACAATTCCTGGCTCACGTTGGCAGCTGAGCAGAACAATGCCGACAAAGGGTTTTGTTTGTGGCTGCACCTGGGCCATGTGAACCTGTCGACCTGGATGCTGGGTGTGTTGCTGTTGGATCCCTCAGGGCCTCCTGACGAAAACGGTCGTCAGCGTTTGCAAGTTCCGGATCCCGCGCGAGCTTTTCTTTCCGTTGAGGCTTTCTTGAAATTTGTTCAGTCTTTCGATCCCCAGTATGAATGCACTGTCTTCACTATCTTGAGCACTGCCGAGCGCTTGGTGGAAGAGGATATGGTTCCAGACTATGTTTTCGTCCGGCGGCTTGACCAAGTTCCTGAGTTTACCTTTTGGCAGGGCTTGGTGGAAGAGCAGCGGAGACATGAAGAGAGCTTGAAGCGAGTTGGACAGAAAAAGCGAGCATCCTCTGGGAAAGCTTCTGCTGCGAAACGAACACGCACCGCCCAGGCCGCCAAGGCGAAGGATGGTGGACAGCCAGATGCAACACTCCCGGAGGCATCGGTTGATGACGATGCGCAAGAGTTTCTCCTTGTGGACAACCCGGATGGCGAGGACGATGATCGTGCTTCCGAGAGTTCCGAAATCCTCGAAGAACTCATGCGGCTGGCAGAGCAGGACGAAGAAAAGAACATCGAAGAAGCGACAAAGCCTTCTGCTGCGGCGGATGGCGAAGAGGTCGCTTCTGGAAGCAAGGATGGCCCTGCTGCTGCTGGCAAAGCTCGTAGAGAAGGCCAAGCTACAGACAAGGTTTCTTTCCTTTTGTATGGCGATATCCGTTTCAATCATGAGGAAAACCACCTCATGGCGGTCTGTGCTGTGCATGAGGATTGCCGTAAAGCCCGGACATGCAATGCTGCGCTGGCTGCCCATCTCGTCGCTCGAAACCCTTTTCAGGGCAGACCTCTGGGACTGCTTACAGCCTGGCTGAAGCTGGGCAGCAAATTCAAGACTGCGGCAGAACATAAAGGTGCCAGCGCCATGAAATCCATCAGCTTCCAGGACAGGCAGCAAGCTCGCTCGGAATTCCTGAGCAAGCCTGGAGCCAGAGAGTTGGCATCGAACGAACGTGCTCGGCTGTCGTACGAGGATGATGATGAACCCTCGGAGATTTCTTAGGCTTCAGTGGCTTGAGATGGTGAGATGGACAGCAAATCGTCGCCGGCAACCAGTGGCCGTGGAAAAGTTTCGTCCGGGATGTGCGCAGTGTCGAATCATCCATTAAATCATTAGGTCGTCATGTGCCAGTGTAGTGTAGGTGTGTCGTGGTGTGTCTGTGTGCTCACTGCTAACCCTTTCTGAGCTGAGTGACTGAGTTTGCAAGACGGCTTTCCGGGTTTGTTTTTCGGATGTCATGTGAACATTGTCATTGTGCAGGATCTACCTGGTCTTCCTGCGGAAGGACGTCTATTCACTGGAGGATGCCCGCTTCATGCAGAACCTGTACAAGGCAGAAGCCTGGGATGTTTACAGTTGTGCAAGCTGCTAGCTCCCAGTCGGTGCCGCCTTTTGCTGATGGCTGCCATGGGCTGCAGGGTGAAATCTTCCTTTTGAAATGTTTGCAGAATACTTCGCACCTATGTCAAGTGAAAAGCCGTATCCTGGGATCCCGTTGAGCAGATGCTGATTGCAACCGTTCTCACTTGCAGGAGCTTCTGGAGAAGCAGCGACGTCTGGGGCCGAAAGAGATCGACCAGGTGCTGCGTGTGGATGAGGATGCACCAGTGGGCTCCACAGTGCATGACCCGGTAGCTTGATTGAAGAATGCTTTCAGTCATCACTTCTCTGAGTCTGAGCGCTCCCATCCTAGACCAGGGTTCCTCTTCCAGAGGTTTTCGTCGTCCAGGAGTCCAGTCGAGTAATAAGTAGAGTAAGTAGAGCAGCTGCTATGCTATACTAAAAATCAATCTTGGGGGCCCGCTTTGGGGTTGTTCTCCTGTGCCTTTTGCTTGGTTTCGAAATTTATCCGTGGCTGACTAGATTAGCCACCCTGTTAGATTGTGTCCAAGTGCTTTGTCCCGATCGGCCTCGCTAAAGATCATTCTTATGAAGGCATGTTGCATACACCGTAGAGTTGCCAGAGTGACACTGCGGGCAGTTCGTTTGTGGAAGAGATTGCCGAACCGACCTTGGGAGCAGGATTGTTGCCACGTTGTCTTTGTTTCTGATGTGGGACTGAGCCCACCAGTACCAGACCGAGGCATGTGTGCAGTTTCAAATAGCTTGGTTCCGTCAGGGTTGCGAAGTTCATATGAGGAGGACCTGTGTGTTTCAATGTTTGTTGAAGGTTCTTGGTATTTGTATTTCGTTGGCACACCGGTATCTATTGCTTTCTGTGCAATATGGAAGGAGGCATCCCACACCCCATTGCAGGACCCATTTCCAAACCCATTCTCGGACCCATTTCCGGACCCATTTTTTCTGCATTTTGCCAGGGACTTTGCCCCCCAGTCCATTTCCCGAACCCATTTCCGGACCCATTTTTTCTGCATTTTGCTAGGGGTTTTGCAAAAAGTCCATTTCCGGACCCATTTCCAGACCCATTTCCGGACCCATTTCCGGACCCATTTTTTCTGCATTTTGCTAGGTGTTTTGCAAAAAGTCCATTTCCGGACCCATTTCCAAACCCATTTCCGGACCCATTTCCGGACCCATTTTTTCTGCATTTTGCTAGGTGTTTTGCAAAAAGTCCATTTCCGGACCCATTTCCGGACCCATTTTTGGACCCATTTTTGGACCCATTTTTGGACCCATTTTCGGACCCATTTTTGGACGGAGTTGCAGTCCGGAATGGGTTTGGAAATGGATCCGAAAATGGGTCCGGAAATGGGTCCGGAAATGGGTCCGGAAATGGGTCGGGAAATGGGTCCGGAAATGGGTCGGGAGTTCCAGTACAACTTTGCATTGCCGGCACTCGGGCCAAGCCTGTCGAACTCTCATTCTTGCAGCCAACAAAACGCTCAAAACACACATATCAAAACCCTGGCTTCCGAATTCTTATTCTCGCAATTAACAAAACGCTCGAAACATAAATCTCACATCCCTGGCTTTCGAGCAAACAATCTTGCAACCAACAAAACGTGAAAAAATACATCTCAAAGCCCTGGCTGTCGAACTGTCGAACTCTCATTTTCTTGCAACCAACAAAACACTTAAAAGGCACATCTCAAAACACTGGCTTTCGAACTCTCATTCTTGCAACCAACAGAACGCTCCAAACATACATCTCAAAACCCTGGCTTTCGAGCTTTGAATCTTGCAACCAACAAAACGCCCAAAAAGTAGATCTCAAAGCCCTGGCTATCGAACTCTGATTTTCTTGCTGCCAACAAAACGCTCAAAAAGTACATCCTGAAACCCCGGCTCTGGATATGTTCCGATATCAGCATTTTCTGAACAATCTCAAGATGTATCTGAGGCACTTGCGACGAGCCGGGGCACTGTGTGGCAAAGAGATTCTGCTCTTGTCAAGAAGCGGCTTGGGGTCTCTCCAACTTTCAAGCCGTGGACCAGCATGAGCGGCTTTGCTGGGACTGGCTTGGGCAACAATGCCAGGATGATGGAAGCACTCGATTGCTTTGTTGCTTCGGAGTTAAAGCGTGTGCAGCCAAGTGCGGATTGTGAGCCAGTCAATGTCAAGAGCATTATGAAAGGTAAGTTCATGGATGTGAGCCAGTCAGTGAGACGTGGCAAGCATAGTACACCGACTGGGTTTTTGCACACCCTGACCACGAGTACCCGTCTGTACTCTTTCTCCTTGGACCGGGTGTTGACCGGTCGTGAGATGCTGAGCCTTCATTGCCAGCCGCGAGACCTGGTCATTCCTGAAGGAGTCGCAGACAGCGACTTACGTGACTTGGCCGGAGAAGGGATGGCTTTGCCATGCCTTGCCAGTGTGGTGTGGTGCTTGTATTTGACGAAGCAGTTTCCCGTGTGATTGTGTGTCTATGAGTGGGATGGTGGGCTGTAGTTGCTTCCGGTCACAGTGGAGCGGTGCCACTGGGCGGATCGTTACAGCCCCGTTTCGAAGGAAGCTGCAGCTTCAATCTTAGATTTGCAATGGTTGGAGCTGCAGTTGTTTTTTTCTAGAGGTGCGTCCTTGTGCCTTGAACAAGGGAAGCCATCAGTGCAGACGTGTGTGGCCCAGCGACAGAGTGAATGCACTCTGAATGGGCCGAGTTCCGCGGAGTAGTTTGATTTCATGCATGCCATTGGCCCGAACCATGTCTCCTGGCAATATTGATACACTTATAATCAAGTAGTATAAATTGGAAGCAGACATTGCAGGTCCTAGATCCTAGGCTCTTTAGAGTAGGTGACTAGGCCTCAAGAACCTTAAAAGCGCTTCTTCCCTGCTTTTTTCAGTGTTGGAAGGTTTGGTCTTAACTGGCCAGAAGCAGTTTTCCTGGGTCTTAGTCCCACAATGAATGTGATCCCCGAGCAGCTGATATCATGCCCGTGCTATTTTGTGATGTTCCAACTGGCTTTTCCCTTTGGAGACCTAGATTGACCTAGATGGTTTGTTTGTTTCTACTCAAAGTAGTGAAGTAGTGAATGCGAGCGGTCCGTCTAGAAAGAGATATGTTGTGTGGAGTGAAATACTCATAGGATTCCTTGATTTCTTGACGTACTTGCGCATGGGGCTTCGGGAGGATGATGGCAGTGGCAACTCAAGGCTTGAACAGATTGGCACAGATGTTTCTTACTGCCCGCCCAAGTCTTTGGTCGTGTACTGTAGAGTGTAGAGAATCGAGCCGTCTTTGGGTTTGTTCCGGTGTCATTTAGCAATTTAGCAGTAACACATATCAGAAGCAGCGGCTAGACTTTGCGGCAGGCTTCCGGCAAATTCGCATGTGCCTTGATTGTGGCACTGCCACACGCAGCTGCTTGACCTAGACTCCAGTGTGCTGTTAAAGAGCCCCGGCCGAGTGCAGACACAAGTAGACTCAGTACGCATTCATTTTGCAGTTCTGCTGCTGGTTTCGTTTGCTCCAGAATCCAGATCCCAGATGCAATTCATGTATGCACATTGTTGCTGCAAGAGGATTTTTGGCTTCAGCTATCTGATCTCCGCAGAGTGCCACTCTTGAATCGACATGGGGAAGGGCGGCAAGATGCAACAGGAGCTTCTTGTGCTTTCCTGATTTGACAGGGCCTGGCATATAGTTGCATTCCGGCACTCAGTAGCCGCCACAATCAGCCACGACCACTTGCGACTAGTCACTAGCCGTCACTAGTCACTAGCCTCTAGTCCAGTCATCTACTCACTACTCATCAGTGATGAGGTAGTCGCAGCAGCTACCGCCATTGACAAGATTTGCAGGCATTGCACAGGAGGCAGAAACTCATCCAACCAAACCCTAATCGCCGCTGCTAGTTCACCAATTGCTTTGATGTGTGACTATACAGGGTTTCTGTAACACCTCATTGCCGAGAGTCCTAGAGTCCTAGAGGTGGGACTTTGTAGCCGGCATGTATTTGCTAGAAAAATGGATGCTCTACCCCGCATTCTGTTCTTTTTTGATGGCCGATGTGCATTATACTCATGTAGGAGTGCCTATGTCCTGTGCACTGACTCTGCGTTCTGTGTAACCACATAAAACAGATCGAACATTTCACGCACAGGAGCAGGCGGCAAAGCGGCTAAAAGCCGGTCGAGATGATGGAGAAGGCAGTGAGCGAGGCAGCCAAGTCAGCAGGCAGGCGTCGACTGCTGGCAGAAGCAAGAGAGCACTGCCGCTGCAGAAGTGCTACAACTGTGGCCGCACTTCCAAGGACATTACCGGTCAAGCGAGATAGCATCCCATAGTTGCCGTAGTTGAAGTCATAAGTTGGTTGAGAAGAGTGTTGTTAGAATACGTAGACGTAGATGAGACATCGATTGAAGGTAGAATTTGTTTAGGAAACCTGGCCGGGTGCTGCATGTTTGCTGTTTCGCAGCTTATGAAACAGAACGCTGAGTGCCGAAGTGATAGGACTGCACCATGGCATCGACTGACAGCATGGGCAACGACGTCACTGATGCATGCTACAACTGTTGTGCCGGATGGTCCGAGATGTACCCTGGGAAGCCGTGGTCCTGTTGCTGTGAAATGTCCGGTGCCCAGTTGACCGAGAGGTGATGTTGTGGTGTCGGGAGAAGTTCCAGTGAACTCGGTGAGTCGATCATGTGTCACACAAACCGGCGAGTGATATCCCGAGTTGTAGAAGTGTCGTGCCTAGTGACCAAGTGATTTGATAGTTGGTGTCTTGCTTGTCATCCAGGCTGGACAAGGAGCCGAAATTCAAGAACAAGTTCGGGAGGGCGTGCAGGCTGCGCCTTGGCGAGGAGGAGTCCACTGTGGACATACCGCGGCCGAGCAATGTGACGGACTTCGAAGAGACTGCACTGGAAGTGTTCGTTGAGCTTGGTGTTTTGACTGAGGGAGAGTATGAAAAGTTGTCAGGCCACATTTGTTCGAATATTTCGGGGCCCGTGCTCAGAGCAGAGATGATTGAGCTCCCATCTCAGCTCGGAGTGCCCAAGAAGTTTTTCCTGATCTCGTTGGAAGGGCTCGGGTGTGATGTAGTGCATGGCTTACGTCGGTGTAGAGTGAGTTGCCGATTCGGCATCCGGCATGAGGAGTTGCTCCTCCAGGCTGCAAAGCAACTCATCGAGGGGCAAGGCCAAGCTGTGTACAGCTTCCACACGTCAGAGCAGCTCGAGAAGAACCCGAAAGGTTTGACAAACGATCAAGCTTTCAATTCGATCAAAACCCTGGATTGCTTGAAGGAAAAGCTCCAGAAGGCAGTTATTCAGAAGGCGGCTAAGCCCGAGGCCAACAAGCCTGAGTCCGATGATGAGCCTCCCGAGGGTTCCCGAAAAGTCCAGCCTGCTCAGTCCTCGCGAGTAGCACGTGGTGTGGCCATTCAGCCGAAGCGCAGATCGTCGGGCAAGAAGAAGGGTGAGAGAGAGGATGTGTCCACCCTGGAGGATCCGGACAACATTCCGCCAGCCCTCCAGCCGGTCACAGCTGCTTTAAAGACAGTGCCCAAGTGCTTTGCCAGTTGCGACCCAGTCCGTTTGCTCAACGGCGAGCGCCTGATGCGATCCGTGGATGCAGCAGCTCGGCGGTAGAGCGACGCATTTCTTCAAGTGTGGTACTTTGACGGTAGAGCGATACATTTCAAGTGTGTTAGGGCTGTTAGGGCGACACATTTCAAGTGTTGTATTTTGGCGGTAGGGCGACACATTTGTTCAAGTGCGGTACTGTGGCCGTAGGCCGACAGATTGTTCAAGTGTGGTACCTTGGACCTCTTGGACTCTTGGGCAATCCAGGCCCGAGGCCCAAGCTTTCAGGTCATGTTTCTGAAGCTGTTTCTGCCCTTATCAGATGCTTTATTTCTCAAGTATCACTCTGTGATGTTGATTTGTTAAAGTCTGAAATCTGGTGTCATGTTGCAGTCCTTGCAGTCTGTGTAAGATGTTCCACAGATTCCACAGCTTTCCCAGTGAGCTCGGTGGGGCATTCATGTTTCCAATCGTCGCTTTTATGCCCTCTTCGGGCACACTAACTATTTACTACTCTTACTACCCGAAGACTCTAAGACTCTAGGATGAATTTTGCACAGAAAGGCTGTGGCCACGGGTAGCTTTATGAGTTTTAGTTCGCATCGAGACAATCCCAAGGCAAAGCGGCTGTGCGAGGATATGAAGAGCAACAAACAATTTCAGCACAAGATGCTGCAGAAGCACATTGACGTGTGTGAGGCTGCCAATTCTCTAGCCAACAACTTCTGCGACTTGAACAACCACGCCATTGATGTGTGTGTGAGTCTGCTTCAGGACAAGAATATCGTCATTCCGTGGAGCATTCAGCTGCAGGTCACGGAGAAGAAGCTCCAGTTTGTGTTTGAGGAGTTGGCCAAGGCTCCGAGCACGAAGCTGCCCGACCTCACAGATCGCATCCTCGAGAGCCTTTGTGCTTGGAAGCACGTCTCGCATCCGGTCCAACACGAGGAGGACGACGATGACGAGACCGCCAAGATGAAGGAGGAGTCCGTGACATGGTCTGCGACACGAAGCTCTTTCAACCTCTTGTGGATGGAGCTGGAGGCAGACATCCGTGACACAAGTTCGGAGGACACAGACGAGTATGCCAAACTGGAGGCCAAGGCTGAGGCCCAAGGGTTTCCTGTATTGAACACTGTATTGCATATTCGGACAGCATCAGACCTATCTGTTGTTAGTGATTGTTGGTCTCATCATTCTGCTCGTGGCTGTTGCATTCGCTTTTGATGATTTTTGTTTATGATGCAGCCCTTTGCCCAAAATGCTTGAACACCCCCAAAGTTCCCAAAGCGCCGACCTTTAACGGACTTTATCGGTTTTGCTGCTTTAACCACAGCCTACTTAACCCCGGAGCCCCAGGATCCATCCATCCACAGAACCCCCGGCTACAGAAGTTCACATAAGCCAGGAGAGCATCTAGAATCGAGTGGCTAGCGGCTAGTGACTAGTAATCTAGTAAATCTAGTAGAATCGGTGACTTTGTGTTTCAGGCCATCGCCAGGCCCAGGTCAGAGTTTCTAGATTCTCGAAGAAGCAGAGCCAGCAAAGCGCCTGATTCCTCAGATCCTGCATGTGCGGTGGTGGGTAATGCTGCAGAATCCATCAGAGTAACTAAGTGTAACTAAGTCTAACTAAGTGGCAGCAGTCCCAACCTCCAGAAGCAGAGTAGCAGAGTAGCAAAGTAGCGGTGATCAGAACAATCAGTGCCTTGAGCGGTGACTTGCAAGATGCACAGAGTTGCTAGCATGAGTCAAGTCCGGGGCTGCAGGAGCTTCAGTCCGTGACAGTTTCCGCGTTGGCATGCCCGGGATTCTTCAATTTGCTTGAGAGCAAGAACACTGCAGCTTTGCTGATGCTGGCGGAGAAATATGTGGGTGCCTATGCCAATGACGGTGTTCCGGAGCTCGAGGACTTTCACGACAGCGGCAAGCGTGCCTGTGAGGTCATGAAGCAGGCACTGTCCTCGTTGGTGGTGCTGCTTGTCCCGACTCCGGGGCACTTGGGCACTTCCCCCACGGATGTCACCAACGTCATCGCCTACGAGGATGCCAATCCCAAGCTCCCGAAGACTGCCAACCAGATGGACTTGCTGGGCACTCTTCAGTTGTTCTTCCAGGAGGACAAGTTCTGGCAAGAGGCGGCCGATGAAGTCCTGAAGCTGGGAACCTCCACCATGAAGTTCGGCGATGAGCTGCAGGACTTGATTGATGATCTCAGCAAGGAGGATGCCAGCAGTGACGAGGTCTCCGAAGCCTTCACCCGGAGCGTCGGCCGCTTCGACCTGTTGCGGAAAAGCCTGCGGAAAAACGCCACTGACAAGCTCGAGGAGCTCATTCGTGCCCGGGTGGAGCGCATCATTGGGCGAATGTGTAAGACTACTGAAGTCTCCCAGGAGATGAGTGTGCACATCTCTTTGATCATGAAGGCTTTGGGTTTCTTCCCCACTGCCAAGGGCATGATGGAGCTGAGAAGCAAATTCGTGGCTTGGCAGAACGGTATGGACAAGGAGCTGAGCCAGCAGAAGCTGCTGACCTTGGCTGACACTCTGAGCCGTGAGGGGCCATGGCCCGTGAATGAGCTCAAGAGAACCATTGACAAGGCTTGTGTCGGCGAGCGCGGCGAGAACTTGGAGCCTGAGCTTGTGAAGAAGCTGGACACGGTCTCATGGGCCATGATGGAGAGGCTGGCCACGGAGGCTGGTTTCCTCGATAAAGTCCACATATCTTGTGTGCCCGAGTGGAATAGAGTGCTATAGAGTGCTAGCTGATATCCCTTTCGTGTTGTGGAGGTGCTGTATGTCCGTATGTTTTGAATGTGACTGGGAGTAAAAGTTCGTGAACGGGTGTAAGCCGTAAGCAGCAAGCCTTTAGAAGTTCAGATTCCGAATATGTAATATAATAACCAGTTTTGGCAAAGCAGCTAGGCTGCTAGGCTCCTGAGTTTTATCGAATGCGATTGGCGACGATAGTGAACTGATTCATTGTCCTGGTTTTTTCTTCCGATGTGTCACAGGCATCGTCCGACTTCGAGCACATGGGCTTTGAAGTGATCCCCATCCTGAGCAAGGCCATGTCGAAGTGCTTCCAGGAAGATGTGGCAAAGGCTTTGCAGCAGTGGATCGGATTGCTTCCCGAAGCATTGAGCTGTGCGAAACAGTTGGAGAAGTTCAGGAAGCTCGGGCAAAACACCGAGGTGCGGTTGGCCACAGACTCCAAGGGCAATGCCTTGACGACGTTGGTCAAGCAGTATGAGACATTCCACACTGCCCACACGCAGGCGCGGAAGAACATCGACGCGATCTCGGATGAGGACGAGCAGAAAATCCGGTTTGTTGCTTTGGGCATCCAGGACTTGCCCGTCTTCAAGATTGCGGATGATGCCATTGCCGCTTTGAGTGCAAAGGCAGATGAATTGAAAGTGCAGGCCAGTGACCTCACGGAGAAGGTTTCCGACATGACGCATGACAAGCACCTCCCGGACAAGTCATGGAAGCAAACCTTGAGCGACACGTCGACCCTGAGTGATGTCCAGACGGCGGCAAGCCTACACATGGACAACGATGTCTCAGGCCTTGAGAAGGTGCTGAAGCAGCTGATCGAGGCTGGGATGCGTTCTACAGTCGAAGCTTCTGGTCATTCTAGTCGCCATGGGTTCAACCGCACGTGTTTTGGTCGTGTTAGAAAGATAGGAACCATGTTTCGGTCGCATCAAAATCAGCCAATCGGACGACTTGAGCGACGGGAATCCGTTGTTTGCGAGTGCTTGTTGGTTGCGTGCTAAGTAGTAAATAGTTTCGCTCCCATATGCCATCAGGTTCACAACCACATTGTGGCGTGGCACAAGCGGGTGAAGTTCATGGACGCGGATCAGGCGAACGTGCCCAAGCTGTTCGCAAGCCTGGCATCTTCCACCGAAAGCACGATCCGCCTGGGGTACGTCTACAAATCGGAAGGTCTTCTGGCGTGCGCCATCATGGAGAAGGACCGGGAGGCTGCCATCAAGCTCATGCGCAAAGAACTGGCAACCCTCCAGGGAAGCCAATATGCAGCGATCGGTGTCACCGAAAATATGGTCCACCCAGTTCTGCTGGCCGAAGCCAAAAATCTCAAAAAGTGATTTACACAACTGTTCAATGTGCCGGAGATTCTCGTAAGTCGCGAGAGGTCTTGGATCCTACAGTAGCTTCGTCCCCAGGCTAAAGGCAAGCTTGGGTCCTACAGTAGCTGCGTCCCTAGGCCCTAGGCAAGTGCTCTGCGCATGAGATTCCGTGCATGTTGACGATTCGATTTTAACGCTTGGCTTGACCTCAGCCGCCGTTGCTTTCACTTGTGCTGCATAGTGGCATAATTACTTGCTGTGTGGCATGTAAATCATCGATGCATGTTTGGATTGACGTCCTCAGGAGGTGGCTTGGAGTCAGGCGATGGGTCGTGCAAAGACCTTAAGCCTTATGATATCGTGTATTGCGATGCTGCAACTACTGCTGCATTCCGTACAATTCTCCTGAACATTCCAGACATCAAGAGACTTCAAGCTGAGCAACAAAAAGTGGCTGAGTGCAAAGCGAAAGGTGCTCTGAGGTCATGTTGGAGTAGGCAGCAGAGATGGAAGAGTGCGCCGGAGTTGACCCAACATTCCAGACAGAGCTCTTTGGAAGTCTTCTTGCGCTATTTAGCTACTTGTTTGATGATTTGGGCCAATTTGGGCGATTCCGACCGAAGTCCGGGCTGAGGCCGTGTGTAGACTGTAGACGAGTGTAGTGCAGTGAAGCTTTGTGGGGCATGGAGTCCGTAGCTAGTTCACTGGCTTTGGGACCGGAGGCTTGGTCTAGTGACTTTAGTGATCTTGGCTACCTTAGCATGCGGCTACGTCGCTTCGCTCTCCGATGCTACCTCGGCTACCGCTACAGCCACTACGACAAGCCGAGACTTTTGTGCGCAGTCGTCAGTCGCTCACTTTCACCTCTCACCTCTCACTCCGTGCCACTCCACTCCACTCCACTCCACTCCACCCCACTCCACCCGCGCCAGTCCACTCCAGTCCATTCCAGTCCAGTCCACTCGCCAGTCCTTCCACTCCACTCCTGACTCCTCTCCTCTCCTCTCTCCCAGCCTCTCCGCCTCTCTCCTTTGTCCTCTCTCCTCTCTCCTCTCTCCTGTCTCCCCTCTTCTCTCTCCTTTCCTCTCTTCCATCTCCCCTCTCCTCTTGCCTCTCTCCTCTCTCTTCCTCCTCTCCTCTCTCCTCTGTCCTCTCTCTTCTCTCCCCTCTCCCCTCCCCTCTCCCTTCTCCTCTCTCCTCTCTCCCTCTTCCCCTCTCCTCTTGCCTCTCTCCTCTCTCTCCTCTCTCCTCTTTCCTCTCTCTCTCCTCTCCTCTCTCCCCCCCTCCCTCTTCTACTCTCTCCTCTCTCCCATCTCCCCTCTCCTCGCCTCTCTCGCCTCTCGCCTCTCTCCTCTTTCCTCTCTCCCTCTCTGGTTTCAGCGCTTGGCAACATGCATGTGTCGTGGCAACGCTTTCTACATGTGAGTTTATGGGCTCCGCCCGTTCCGCGCCCCTTCGTGGGTCCCTAGGCCCTAGGCTTTGTGCTGGCATAACGACATTTCCTTTTTCGCGAGGTTTTTAATCACTCTCAGAATTGATGACTATTGTTTTCCGTGTAAACGGACACGTGCAGAAGGCAACATATCTCGATTTCCCAGCTTAGTACTCAGTGCGTTGTTTGCACTCGAACAGGTTGTTGGCCGCGGCCGCAGCTTTGATGATCCACATTTCTTTGCATTTTATTTTGAGTTTCATTGCAGTTTCATTTCGGTTTTACGAAATTCGACCAATGACCCCATCATCGGTCGATTTCTATGGTACTGTCGGTGATATGTCTTGCTGTGCTGGCTACACTCCGAGGTCCATGTTGAAACGCATTTTGCGCATCTTCCTCATGTTCGTGGGGAAATGCTACGGTTTATGTTCTTTACTTGCGCTGTGAAATCGCAACCGCCCAGACCCATGTGCTTTGCATTTTCCTAGGTGTTTCTGCACAGCTCGGCTGCTGGACCCATTTTCGCCACAATTTTCTTTGCATTTTCCTTGTGTTTCTGCACAAACTGGCTTCCAGTGCCCATTCTTTTTGCATTTTGCTAGGGCTTTTGCAGCTAGTGGCTTCCCGGACCCATTTCCGGACCCATTTGTTCTGCATTTTGCTAGGGTTTTTGCAACAAGTGGCTTCCCGGACCCATTGCCGGACCCATTTTTTCTGCATTTTGCTAGGTGTTTTGCAAAAAGTTCATTTCCGGACCCATTTCCGGACCCATTTCCGGACCCATTTCCGGACCCATTTCCGGACCCATTGCTTTCGCATTTCCGGATCCATTTCCGGACCCATTATAATCGCATTTTGGAACCCATTGTTATCGCATTTGTTTTGCAATTAAATCATTTCCTAGAAACCCAGGAGTTAGGTCACTAAGGGGCTTCTTAAGCCTACTGGATACGCGGGCCACAAAAGAAGAAGTTTTACTTTCCGACCCGCTTATGGCGCTTTGCGCATTTCGACGCTGTTGAGGCCAAAGCGATGGTGCTCCTTCAGCGGTTAGTCGCCCAAGAGGAGAACCAGGCGCAGTCACTGCCAAATGGCGAACGCCCCTGGTTCAGGTTGGGGCACCCTAGGGCGCAGGACCGTTGGAAGGATGCAGCGGAGGAGTTTCGCAGGGAAGGGGGCCTGGGGCCCGGCCTCCAACTTCCCTGCATTTCCACCGAGTTAATGCCACATCTCCATTGCGAAGACCATGACAACCATCAGTATTCATTTACACGACTGATGGAAATCTACAAGGAGAGGAACTATCAGTTGCTCTATCTCCTGAAGGAGAGTCAATTTCCTTCGAGCGGTCGTGACATGCAACGACTGCTCGACAGCTGGCCGCAGGATGCAGCGGCTGGCTCCTCCAGGTGACCTCCGCCTTTTGACGACCGTGGGACTAACGACATACGTCGTTGTGTCGATACCCTTCCCAGCTGTACGCAAGGGCTACAGGACCCGCGCCGAGCCCGAGCTCAACTGGGCTTCTGGCGGGACCTCGCCGCCTTGTCGAACAGTCGCCGATAGTGCAGGCCCGGCGGCCAGAACACCTGGCAATGGTCTGGTGTAGCTAAGTGGTGACGGACCTCGTGAGGCACGTCGCTTCACCTCTAGAGGAGTCTCCAGGTGATGCCGCGGCAACCGACGACATACGTCGTTGAGGTTCGTGACTTCATCACTTGTGATTATCACCTTATTTCCTTTTTCACAACAACCGTTGTCGAGTTACGACAAGGTTGAACATGGTGATTTTCATGAGATTTCCGTCTTTTCACGATTTGCTCTTTTACTTTCACGCATGAGCATTGAGAAACATGGGCATTTGAATGACGATCCGAATGCAAGGTTTCTTGCTCAAGTGGGCAGGAAAAATTCTTTTTAGGGGGCTGGGTCGCTCTCGGGCTGTCGGCTCAATGGCTGTCTCTGACCGCGTGAGTGCTTCTTTTCCAGAGAGTGACGATGCCACCCTTACAGGCGACGACGATGAAATGGTGGAGGTTCTTATTGAACCGGAGCCGCAGGCGTCGGAGCCTGCTGCCCTCGCAACTCTTCGTGATCTTCAGGACCTCCAGGTCCAAGTGGGTGCCAAAGTGGCGCCGGTGGCCGATGATGTGGCTGGCCTCATCTTCCAGGTCGGTGAGCTTCAAGCACAGGTACGTACTTTGAAGACTGATGTTCTGTCTCGCCTTGATAGCCTGGCTGAGAGAATGACTGAGCTCGAGGACGCGATGGCCGAAGTAGCCACTGCCATCACCCGTCTTGCTGTCACAAGTGTGCCGCCTGTATCTCGCTCTGACGGCAGCTGCTAGGCCCTGCTTTTCTTTAGGTGGCCTAGTTTTGGTGACGTCTTCCAGGGAGACTTGCCTCCGTGGGCTGTCGATGACCGACGCCGTGGCACTTAGGACTTTTGTGAGCTCTGCAGTTGCATTGCATTTTGGCTTTATTTTCGACAATGCTGCAGTGCCAACCTGGATGAAGATTCTGGGACCAGTTTTGCTTCGGCACGCGCCGGCGATGCCCGGCTCCAGGACTTCCGCTTGTGCGCTGCTTTGTGCACTTGCTCCAAGCGCCGTTTCAGTCATGTGCTCACAGTTGTCGACAACTTCAGTTGCGCGAAACTCAGCATGTCTTGCTCTGCGGTGAACATAGCATCGGCGCCTGGTTTGCAGATCTCCTGACATAGCAGCTGGCGATGCCCAGCAGGATCGTGCATCACTCAGCTGTGAGTAAAACGGCATTCTTGCAGAGTGACGTGCGTCAGCTGGGAGCCTTTCTGTGCGAGAGCTTCGTAGGGCTGCGACTGTGTGAGTTGCGTTCCGCCTCGGAGCTTACTTTTCCGAGTTTGAGCCGTGCCTGCATCTGGCTGCGAGCGCTTTTAGGGCATTGCAGGGCACAGGTCCGTTCATTTTAGGACATGGACACGTCAGCCCCTGAGAGTTCCTCTGACTGTGGGGCAGATCTCAGCAATCTGCCTCCTGATGACGAGCCGGCTGCTGGGTCTTCAGAGCGAGCTAGCACTGATGATACTTTCTTGCTGCTCTCTGACCATGTGTGGGAGTTAGAGCAGCGTGTGACTGCTCTGGAACAACGCCTGATTGCAGCTGATCCTGTGCCCAGAGAAACTCTTCGACGCGATTTTCGGGCTTGCCGATCGAGTCTCGAGCCTGGAGCTCCGTATCACTGAGCTGGTCAGGTCGCTTCGAAATTGCTTTGCAGGACTAGACCGATAATCTCGGCTCTGTCCTGTCGCCAGGCAATTACAGTGTCAGGCCTCACGGACTTTACACGTCGACTTGAGAATGCTGCAGCTCAGATCGTGGCCCGCTCAGCAGTGGCAAAACACTCAACTTGCTGCGCGTTGTGCAACATGTGTCGCATGTTTCAGTGCCTTGCGGTGTGGTCCCCCACAACTGGTCTGTGCACTTTAACTTCCACCGGCATGCCACTCACATGTCATAGCGCGCTGTCTGTGCCGCTGATCTTTCAGTTTTCGCAAGGACCCTACGCCTTTAGGTTCTTTACTGCGGGTTCGGCTCCCTCATCGATGGACGCGCTGACCGGGTCCCAGATTCAGTTCTTGCAAGATCTCCAGGAGGCCCTCTTTGCCGTTCGGGAGGCCGAACGTCAGCGTGCACAGACTGGCCCGCCTTTTGCTTCTGCCAGGGCAAGTCGTGCGCGTGAGCGCTCGAGGTCCAGGGACTCGCATCGCGATGCGACCGTACACTCCAATGCTTCAGGGGAACGGGCACGGGACCTCAGCCCCTCGAGGTTGCTGCGCCACATTTGCTGTCTCCGCAGTGACTGTGAGTCTCTGGGGCACAGAGTTGACAACCTCTGCTTGGGACGCACTCATTTGATGAATACCTTGCTGGCTAGCCAGGAGTCCAGTTCTCCTTTTTCTGCGATTTCCGAGTTTGTTTTGGATACCAGGGCCTCCCTCAGGACTCTGCATTCACGTCTTGATGAGCTCACACGTGTGACCGCCGAGACTGCGATGAGTACAGCTTTTCGTCTTGATCGTTTGGAGGCCGCTTTAGCCCCCACTCTGTGCCCACACGATGGGTCCAGCTGAATCACCTTACTTTCGAAGCCGGTCGTGTCTGCTGATGGCAAAATTACGCTGCATTGCTGTGGCCGCAACTTGTCGTGCCTGTGCTGGTGACCTTAGTGCTGCTTCTTTGCAGACGAGCGTCGCTGACTATGGCCTGTCACGTAGTTTTGGCTGCTAGCCGGCTGCTTGCTTCTGCTGCTGTAGCACGTCCGCTGACTTGCTCCTGTGCTTGCACTTGCATGGCCGAGAGTGCTGGCCTGCGCGTCCTGTGACCTTCGGGTGCAGTGGACTCGCTGCGCTCACGACTCGAGCACAATGCAGGGGGCGAGTAACGGGTGCTCGAGCGATCAGGGCCCAAGGATAGACTTCGAAGCTTTGCTGAGTGCGGCTGTGGATACCTGTGCTAGCGATGCTAGACAGCCCGCGGAATTGCCCTGGGAGCACGGTGTGTTCAGGAGCATCTTCGAGCCTAGCGATGTGGTGGGCTGGGAAGACACTTTTATGCTGCCTGACCTCCCTGTACCAGACGATCCCGAGGAAATTCTCCCACCTTCGGAAAAGAAGAGGCGTCTTAGAGAAAGTGGCCTCGTTCCTGGAGTGTGTTTTTCGGTGGTACGTAAAAGCCACGGCATATCTTGGCAAGATCAGCGCGACAAGGACCACGACAAGGCCATGGCTCGATGGACCTTTGTTATCTTGAGGTGGGCCGATCTTCGCCCGGACCTCTTGATCTGCAAGAGTCTGCTTGAGTGTGCTACCGCAGAAGAACGTACGGAAGTTCTTCGGGATTGGTTGCATCCAAAAGCTCCGAGTACGCTGCTTAAGCGTGTTAACTCTCTGCTTCGTTTTCACAAAAGTGAGGGATGGTCCGACGAGACTTTTCCGTATGAAGAGGGCAATGTTTACAAGCACATGGTTGCAGCCAGAGCTGGCGGAGCGAAGCCAGCACAGATGCGTGCGCTTCGTGAGGCGTTGATCTTCGTTCGACATGTCTTCTCAGTTGAGGAGATTGAGAACGTGATATCCAGCAGGCGGTGTCTTGGTGCAGCATCAAGGGGTGCACGGCGTAAGGCGCGCCAGAGGGCAGACCCTTTGACCTTGAAGAACTTGAGGCTGCTCCATTCCATGTTGGGGGACAAGAGTGTCCCCGCTTGGGATCGAGTTTTCGCGGGGGCAGCTTTGTGCTGCGCGTACATGCGATCCCGTTGGTCCGACTTTCAGCACTCTATCTCGTGTGGGCTGGAATACGGGGCTGATGGTGAGAGACTCTTCCTGGAATTTACTTGTGAGGATTACAAAACAGTCAACTCTAAATTCTTTGCGGGTGCGCCGCTTCGGATGATCGCTCCTGGACGAGGTATCGCTGGGCCAAACTGGCTCGATTTGTGGCACGAGGCTCGAATGGAGGTGGGACTTACAGAGTTCGTTCCACCCTTGCCTACGCCAGGCCCTGCGGGAGAACCTACCGGTGCATCCGTGAGCACTGAGGAGATGTCTTTATGGCTTCAGAAGATCTTCGTCGACCGTGGATCACTCAGAACATCTGGCCACACGCTGAAAAGGACTTTCCTTACCATGGCGACAAAGCGTGGCGTTGAACACTTGGACCGGTTGGTTCTGGGTGGACATGCAAACTCGGCAGGGATGGCTGACACTTATGGCGATGACGAGTTGGCCCGGCCCCTCCGCCTGCTCATGGCCTTGATCTCAGAGATCCGAGAGGGTGTCTTTGATCCAGATGCTGGTCGTGCGGGTTATTTGCGTGGGAGTGGCTTGGAGGAGCTTCGATTGGGTTTCGCCGCCCAGACGGATGATCGCCACCCTCCCTCTGCTGAGTCCTGGGAGAGGGTGACGGGTGACGACGACATGTTTGGCTTGGTAGACGCGCTTGATAAGGGAGCACCGAGCCAGCAAGACGTCTTCTTTCCGGGCGATGATGACGCGAACCTTATGGGGCAGGATTCTGCTGATGAGCCACCCGAGGCTGAGGTGGGTGACGGCGGTGTGTCATCTTTGGGCGCAGAAGATGACAAACTTGTCGGCAAGGATTCCGATTCTTCTAGTTCGAGTGGATCAAGTGATTCAAGTGATAGCTCCGGAAGCGATGACGAACCGGCCCGGATTATGCCGCCGCCGGAGCCTGCGGAAGGCACAACATTTTTACAGCATCAGAGAACTCGCTTGCTGCACATGATTGCTGACAACAACCGCCGCGTACTTATGTGTGGGCGGATGGTTAGTGACTTGTACAGTCTTCCACAGCGAATCAGGTTTGACTCATCAGTGTGTCGCAACTGCAAGAAGGCAGTGGCGGACAGTCACTAGTTCGCCTTGCGGGGCCGAGCGAGATGCTTGTGTGTTGGGGGTCATCTGGTGTGCCGGTCATGTTACGTGAGCGGAACACAGCCCTGACTTCTCAGCTGACTTGGTGCTCGAGCCGCCTTTAGGGGGGCGACATGTCGCTGGTTGACAGTGAGGCTTCATTTCGGCAGCGATGTCAAGACGTCGGCGGGGGTGCGATTCACACCGCACTGTCTGACCAAGGGATCACTTCCTTTGCCTCGCTTGCATATTCATGTGGCACGCCTCAGGATCGACCCACACAGGCGGAAATGGACGCATTTGCGGTAAAGATCTTGGGGGCTGCTCCCCGTTTGGGGGATGTGTCTATCTTGAAGCGATTGATGTTTGAGTCCTCCACATATGTCATAGCTCAGTTGCGTCAAGCTGTGCAAGGGGACTCTGCCGAACAGCCTCGAAAGCTTCCACTTGCTGAGAAACAGGCCAGGGCCGAAGATCAGCGCCGTCGGCTTAGTGGAGTGCATATAGAGCGTGATTTGGTCCCTTCCCATGCTCTGGTGGACCTCTGTTGTCACATGCATGATGTGGGCATCACTTGGATATCGCCAGGCAAATGCACTAGCCGCGAATCAGAAATTCAGCTTTCAACGAAGGACCAAAGCAAAATCTTTCGACTTGAGGACAACTCCTTGAAGGTCGGAAGTGAACAGCCCAAGGACATTGCTTCTTATGATTCGCCGATCAAGTTGCAGTGGTGCCTTCAGCGCCGCGGTCTGGCCTTGGACCAGGCTAAGGTACTGACGTGGGCCCAGCATGAGCGTTGGGTTCACTGCTTGCTTCACGCACTGACTAAGGAGTGCCCTCCAGGGTTCCACAAGCCTGATATGAACCGCATTGTGCAGGCCGATCGTGAAGCCTGGTTGATCATGGCGTCCGACGTGCCATCGCTTAAGCCCAGTACCGCTGGCGAGTACCCTCTGGGTAAGGCTCTGGATGCTTTGCGGACAGACCCTCGGATCACCATGTACTTGATGGCTACCTGGGGCCGTGCACCGGATGTTAAGGTTCAGGACCCTGATCAAGGCCCCCCTGCCAAACCAGGTGAAGGACTGTCCCGAGCCGCCAAGCGCCGTCGCCGTGCAAAAGAGGCGGCTACCGCTGCCAAGCATACGACACCAGGACGGAGTACAGGTGCCCAGGCTACTGCTGCACAGGCTACAAAGGCACGCACCATGCCGGCTGAACTTAAGAATGCTCACCAGAAAACCGAGGACGGCAAGCCCATCTGCTGGGACCATAACTGTGCCGGCTGCAAGGCCAAGACTGAGGGAGACCCACCGCGCTGCCCTCGGGGTGTCCACGTTTGTGCTTACTGTCGCCGTGTGGGCCACTCCTTCCGTAATTGCCGAGCTCGCACTTGGAAGGGATCCGGCAAGGGTAAATCCGAGTGACAAACAGCTCTCGACACCTCAGCTCCGCCTGTTGAGGCGGCTGCCATTTCTGGCTATGGCCCACACTCAGTGGGCTTTCATTTTCCACCTGCTGCCACTTCTGAGGTTGCCGACGTGTTGGCACCCGCGGAGGCGATAGCATTGCAATGCCTACAGGCCGGTTTTGCTAGTCACGACGATTTTCGGAGCTTGATCGCTTTGCTACCTGCAGACACCGCCGGTGCCCCGTCAGAAGAATCTGTGGACCCGACAGCTCCCAAATCTTTCACATCCGGCGCATATGTCCATCAAGCCAAAGCCGGACTGCGCTCTAATTTTCACGCCTTTCCTTTCAGTACCATGCTTTTGGCCGCCGTCTTGTCGGCGTCTTTTGGCTCTCGCTGCTTCTCGTCTGTTGGACTTTTCTTGAATTTAAAGGCGCCTCTGCACAACGACGCCAACAACGATCATGCCCATCCCAACCTGATCTTGCCTGCCTCTGTTTTCCACAAAGGCCAGATTTGGGTTGAGGGTAAAGGCGAGTGTCCGTGCCCCGACCCCGACGTGCCGCGTCTGGGCTACTTGCTGCCTGTTGCTGACGGCCCACAGTTGCTTCCTTCAGAGAGGCTGCACGCAACTTGTGATTGCGACGGTACTCGCTTGTTGATTGTTGGATTCTGCATTCGTGACACTGGCCTCCTGTCCGAGGCACATCGTGTTCGACTTCTTGATGCTCGTTTCCTCCTGCCTCAAGTTGAGTCCGGATCGGCCTCAGACGCTGTGCCCCCCGTGCCACCGCACAAGCGGCCCAAGGTTGCCTACCGACCCCTAGTTGGCCCTAAACCCGCCGCCTGCCCCTCCCTAAAACCTCTAGGTTCGCCTGACGCCGGACCATCCACCAGTGCATCTGCTTCCACGCATACTGGCTTGCAGGAGGCCTTTCCGCAACGGGCCACACCGCTGGTTATCGAGGTCTTTGCCGGCACGGCTCGGCTCAGCACTGCCTGTCAGAAGCTGGGTTTCAGAACGCTTGCAATTGATAAATCCACAGCACGTGGACGCTTCCCCATACAACGTCTTGACCTCACCGATGCTGACGACCTTTGCATTCTTCTGGATATCATCCGTCTTGAGGCGGCCAATATTGTCTGGATCCATTGTGCGCCGCCATGTGGCACCGCGTCTGCGGCGCGCTCAAGACCCATTCCAGAATTGACTGCTGCTGGTGTTCGGGTGCCGCAACCTTTGCGCAGCACTTCCGAACCCCAAGGACTCTCCACTTTGACTGGCGCAGATCTTGAACGGGTCCAGAAGGCCAATATGCTCTACCGTGCCGTGCAAATTGCTGACCTGGCTCGACAATTGAACATCTTCGTCACCGTGGAAAACCCACGCAACTCTTTGGCTTGGTTGTGCGATGGCCTGGACGAGCTGTTCCGCTCACCACATCACACCGTGGTCTACGATGCCTGCATGCATGGTGGCACACGTGACAAAACCACCCTGTTGTGGTGCTCTGCCGATTGGTTTCAGCCTCTCGCTCTCCGATGTTCACGTGACCACCAGCACGCTTCTTGGAAACCTCGTTTGCAGCCACATGCTACCTCTTTCCCGACTGCCGATGAGGCTGCATATCCAGTGCTGCTTTGTGAACGAATGGCCCACATCATTGCCGCACGTGCTGGGGGACTGGCGCTTGCTGCGCCCGACCCGCGCCCTTTTTCCCAGGTATACTTGCAGCGACAGCCTCGCTTTGCACGACCATTGGTTGCCTGCTATTCTGGAAGTGATGACTGGGCCATCCCTGTTCGATCCGATGATCTCACCTCCACGCTGCTGGCTTGCTACCCAAAGGGAGCGCGCATTATTCAACGCAAACTGGTATCCTTGGGTATGGTGCGGGTTTGCGTGCCTTCCAAATGCACAGGCATCGACCTGTCGTCGTTGCATTCCAAATACCCCCAACGGGTGAAGATCGCGCTGATTGTATTGAGGAGGACCACCTCAAGCATGACGAGACAGTTGCGATAACAGGTTTCGTTGCTGCAGACGATCCGTGCTCCGAGCATGCGGAGATTGTTTCTGTTGGAATACCCAAAGAACCTTGCGACTTTGTGGCGGATGCCGTGAAGGCTGGACATCCTAGGAATGCTTTGAACGCGAGCCGGGAAGGACCTTCCTCCAAAGTTGCAGATGCCATCCTAATGGATTTCGAACGGAGGGAGCGGCTTGCCTCAAAAACCAAGGATCGTTGGAGTCAGATTGCGGCTACGACTAAGCCCTTGAATCACAACATGTTGAAGCACAAGCCGGACTACATTGTGACCGCGTTAGGGGATAAGAACCTTTTGGCCTGGAAAAGTATTCTTGGTGACGATGGCTTCCCGGACCAACAACTCTGGTCCGACCTGCGCGATGGACTTAGGCTGACTGGCTGGATGCGGGACACTGGAATCTTCGACAAGAAAGTCCGTCCCCCGCAAACATCGCTGGAGCACCTGCTAAGTCAATCCCAGTACCAAACACCGTTGACCTTGAAAAGGCTACAGAAGACTGTTGTTGACATCACGGCACGCAAGGCGTGGGCTGAAACGGTGGAGGAAGAGAAGAAGGGATGGATCTTTCGGGATGAAAGTGCAAATCTTGATGACATAGTCTTGGCCCATCGTTTCGGCTTGCAACAGAAGGACAAAGTTCGCGTGATCGACAACGGCAAGGAGTGTGGCCTCAACTTGGCGTGTGGGCTACCCGAGAAGTTCACCCTGCATGGAGTGGACGTGCTTGCTGGAGTTTTCATTGAGTTGCTCAACCGCCCTGAAGCTGCCGGCAAAAGGATCAAAGGGAAAACCATTGATCTTGTCTCTGCGTACAAATTCTATCCAATCCACCCTCAAGACAGGCGTCACTTGAGGATCGGGGTCTATGACACCGACTCTGGCATGGTCAGGATTTATGGAACCAACGTTCTTCCTTTCGGTGCCACCGGAAGTGTGGCGGGTTTCCTGCGAGTTTCGGCGGCGATTTGGCATACGGGCATCCAGGACCTTGGCCTGGGATGGTGCGCCTACTTTGACGATTTTCCTTTGATGGCCCTTGAAGGTCATGAAGACCAGGTTGGAGGATTGGCTGGAGAAGTGTTCGACGCACTGGGGATCCAATACGCAAAGGAGGGTAAGAAGGCCACTGACTTCGATTACACCTTTGCCGCCCTGGGATTGCAGTATGACTTGACGAGATTCAATGAGGGGGTGGTCATCATTCGGCATACGGAAGCACGTACTGCTGAGCTGGTGGAGACTCTCGAGGGAATCTTACGTGATGCTGTACTCCGACCTAAGGATGCGGAAGTTTTGAGGGGAAGGATGCACTGGTTTACTTCGTATCTTTTCGGTCGTGCGCCGTGTGAGGCGATGAGACAGATATCCTTGAGGGCACAATGTATGGACTCGTGCACAAGGCTCACTGACGACTTGACAGAGGCGATTCAAACTTTGCTCCGCTACGTGGTGGATTCCAGGCCATTGGAGCTAAGGCAAACGACGGGGCGTGAGCTGTATGTTTTTACAGATGGCTCGTATGAGCCCACGGCTGAGAAGCGAGCCGGCATCGGTGGCGTCCTCTATGACAGCGCTGGCACACCGTTGTCGTTCTTCTCTGCACAGGTGAACGAGGACGATCTGCGGGCTCTTGAGGAAACTTCTGATCATCCGATATATGAGGTTGAACTGTATGCCGCATTGGTTGCAGTTGAGCTTTGGGGACCCTTATTAGAGGATTCCTTTTCCGTTTTTTACCTTGATAATGAAGCCGCTCAGTCAGCACTCATCGCGGGCCGTTCGGGCACGGATCATGGAAGGAAGCTGGTCCAACGTTTCCTGGATGCTGAACACAGGTGGCGGGCAAGGCCATGGTTCGGGCGAGTCCCGACTCACTCGAATCCAGCGGACGAGCCAAGCCGCGACTGCTGCAAAAGGCTCTTGAATCAAGGCGCTCAGCAGATGCAGACTAGTGGTGAGAGGCTGCTTGTTTGAAGGAACGGCTACATTTGCGCACGGTGCTGGGGGTATGATCGGGTGCGCAAGTTTTCGACTTATCTCATCGACACATGTGTCTTGCATTGGATGCTTGACCTTGGGGCCGATGGAGATATCAAACTTTGATCGTTTCGACCCCACGGCATCGCGCAATATCATCCTAGCAAAACGAAGGCTGCTGAGCGAGTGACTGCGATCTTATTTCTTATTTCGTTCTCTGAAATATATTGGAGTGACGTGAAGAGGAATATTCATGATATCGTCCATGTGTTTGTGGAATAGGAAATAAGTGACTTCATCACTTGTGATTATCACCTTATTTCCTTTTTCACAACAACCGTTGTCGAGTTACGACAAGGTTGAACATGGTGATTTTCATGAGATTTCCGTCTTTTCACGATTTGCTCTTTTACTTTCACGCATGAGCATTGAGAAACATGGGCATTTGAATGACGATCCGAATGCAAGGTTTCTTGCTCAAGTGGGCAGGAAAAAGTCTTTTTACCCACCCGCCCGCCCGGGGTATGATCGGGTGCGCAAGTTCTCGACTTATCTCATCGACACATGTGTCTTGCATTGGATGCTTGACCTTGGGGCCGATGGAGATATCAAACTTTGATCGTTTCGACCCCACGGCATCGCGCAATATCATCCTAGCAAAACGAAGGCTGCTGAGCGAGTGACTGCGATCTTATTTCTTATTTCGTTCTCTGAAATATATTGGAGTGACGTGAAGAGGAATATTCATGATATCGTCCATGTGTTTGTGGAATAGGAAATAAATTCATTATCTTTGCTGCTCTTGTTCTGGCACGACGACCGCCGGAGTCTTGTTTGGGACGGTGTGCACTTTCGCGATGGCTGCTTTTGGCCGCTGCTTGCCCTTGCAGTGGGGGATGGAGGGGGGGGCCTTGGCTGCGCTTTTCGGTTGTTGTGGCGCACCACAGTTGTCCCTGAACACAGCCGGTACAGCTTGATTTCCAATTCGGTTGACTTTGCAATTTCGTCGTCTGGTGGTGACGGACCCCCAAAGGTTGGTCGGGTCGTCTCTGACCGACAATGCTTTCTTGTGGGAGCCGCTGTAACCGACGACATACGTCGTTGAGGTTCTTCTCCCTCCTTGTTACTCCTGAGTGGGAGCTACAACCACTGCGTGGGAACCTGGGCCCAGGGTGCACGCTCTACTTGGGCGACCCATTCTTGGGACTTTAAGGCGTTCCTTCGCTTGCGCTGCACTGGGTTTCGACGCACAACAAGTTATCCCCACGGTCTACATCCTGCCCGGCCGCGTGCTGTGGCAGCGATTGGTGGCCGTCGGTCATTGCATCCAAGACGCCACTGTTTTGCACACCGAGGATCGTTCGGTTTCGTCCTTCGGTGTGCGTTCGCATCTGGCCGGCTTTGAGTTGCACGACTCTGGCCACCGCATCAGGTCTGGAAGCCGCTCACCGCAGGGAGCATTGGACTTTTGGATTTTGGTGTGCACGATCGTGACGGAACAAGACACAGGGGCTGTCCGTTGTCTGGCGAGACTAGAACGGCTGCCGGAGCTTGGTCTTGGCTCCACCTGTTGTTTTGGGCGGCACAGAGCGACGGCTCTTTGTTGCTCCGGACCGGTCGCTGAAGCTCCGTAGTTAGCGCTGAACGGCCAACACAGGTAAAGCCCGTGCGCCGCAGCCCATTCGTAGAGCTTCTCTGTTTCACCGCTTTGTTGTAGTTTAGTTAGTTTGTCGTCTGCTTGTTTGTAGGGACCGAGTGCGACAGCCGTAGTCGACGAGGCCCAGTCAAGCCAAAAAAATCCCTCACAGGCATCCACGTGTGCTTTGCCAGGCGGTAGGGTCGCGCACGATGCGGGAACGCGCTACCGCGAATGCAACACTGCTACTGGAGATTCCGAAGCTGGGATGTTAAGAAGGTCCGGTCTGCCTGTCGACGTCGTTCTGCAATGTCGACTTCTAGGCTGGGCACTGGTGTCTGCCTGACGAGGCCGGCCTGTTGCAGCAAGCATCAGGGTGTCCACACCACCATCGGACGCTGGACCTGGTGGCGATGCGGCGCCCTTGCGATCGCCCTTGCGATACCCAGGTGGGCAGTGCCGTTCTACAATTTCCGCTCGACTCCGGTAAGGCTTCCCTCCAAGCTTAATCTCTCGTCGTAATTGTGCAACACCTGTCTTGGTGCCGATGTGTTCCATCACGGTTTGCAATGTCTCCACTGGGAAACCATGCATGGGCGGATAGTGGCACCTTGATTCAACGGCATTTGATGTCATGTGCTCTTGTGCGGCGCCCTTGCGATACCCAAGTGGGAATGGGCTGGACTTTTGCGCAATCCTCAATTGGCCCTTGTGATGTCCACCCTTGGGATGCTGGGTCTAGTTGGCCTGCCGTTATGATACAGCTGGTCTGCCTGTGCGCCTCAAACTGGTACGACGCCTTGGTCGGAGCAGGTGCGCTTGGCTCTCCTCTTTGCCTGGACATTGTCAATGATGGTTGCTTCACATCAAAGGGCATATGACAGCAGTGCGCTCTTCCTCGCTGCTTTCCGGGATGCTCATGCTTCTGTGCAGCTGGTTGCCGCTCCGGAGAAGACCAACTGAGAGACGGTACATCAAGAAGGTCGAACGATCCCTACTGGCTAAGTCTGCAAGTCGCGACCTGTTTCACCCATTAGGATGCTTCTGTGCAGTTCATTATCTTCTTGTTTTGATTCACTTCTTACTGGGACTGAGTGCTACAGCCGAAGTCGACAAGGCCCGCCTACGCCCGAAAAAAATGAAAACTGAGCAAGGAAAAGTGCTGTGTGGACAGAATCTCAAGTTTTTTGGCATAAGGTGGATTAGTTGGCGTGAACTTCAGAACCTTCCGAGCTGTAGCTAAGAAGAAACCTCTTTGTCTGCCTCCTGGATTTGCAACCAAAGTTTTTAATGAACTGTCGATGAGGTCCGGGTCAAGAAACTGCGTCTCCTTCAGAAGCTGCTTCCACAAGATTGTGTTTTTCCCAACAAGAACTGCGGCTTGAATTCTTTGCTGGACTGACGGTTAGGTTCCACCAAGATCCTGAAGAGAGTTGAACTTTACACGCCCTTTGAAAGCTCCTTGTTGCACAGAATGTCGGGCATCTGTCCGTCTGATGAGCTTTTGAAGCTGGTAAGTTGGTTTGAAATAGGACAGGACGTGCAATTATGCCAGGCTTCAAGTTTTCTGCAGTGAGTTTGTTTTTGCAAGAACTTGCACGGTACGTAAAAAGCACAGGTCTGTAGCTCAGGCTCCACACCCGCCATGGAGCTTCAGAGCCTGGTTTAGTTGTTTGCCACAAGGTAAGTCCGAGGTCAGGTCTGTTTGTACTTTCCATCAATGTTGAATTGACGACAGACAATGAATGTTTTGCATGAAAAGCTCTACCTACGTCTTGCCTGCACTCCCGTGAATTTTTTTTGCCGTACATGAAGAAGTTTAAAAGCTTCTGATCGCCTCACGCATCGGAGTTTTCTGTACCGTTTTTCCCTTTTTGCTCGTTTTACACCGGACCGAGTGACAACAGCCGCACCGATGCCGCATCGCTCCAAAACAAAGCAGTTCTGCCAATGGGATGAAACAGCACAAGCCGTGTGTTTTTCGCGCTTTGCCTTCTGTTTGTATCAACCACACCCAGGTCTGTGTTTCGAAAAGAGTAGTTGTATGTTGTATGCAGTGGCTGCACAAGCACAGGAGAAGATGCAAATGCTCGATCCCGAGCTGTTGTCGAAGCCGTAGAAAGACAAAGCACCAGTTCGCGCATTCTCGGAGCAACAAGATGGGTGCAAGCGGCGGACCGCTGATTGCGTTATGAAGCGGACATCAGCCCAGTGACCACAGATGTCAGTGTGTTTATCAGCGTGTGTAGATCATCTCGCAGCATGGTGATGGCTCCTGCATCTGGTCATCTGCAGGCCTTGAGAGCAGGGCTTCTTCCGGCTTTCAAGCGTTCCGCAAGTGCTCAACTTTGGGTTATAATGGCATTCGGTGTGACTAGATGTTTTTTGCCGACCCCACCAGCTTTTTGCATATTCGTTGCAGTGCTTCTCGCACTCCGTTGCTGCAGCAAGGCAGCAGGAAGCAGTTGCATATACATTTGAGAATTTCGTGGCCTGAAGGACGTGCTGCGCCAAGTCCACGAACATGTTGATGCCGAGGTCGGCGATAATTTGCTGCAAAATTGACAAAGCGGGATGTTGCCTGGTGACCAGGAACTTGGTGTGTGCAACCGGGCCAATCACAGAAGAGGAGCCGTTTAGGGTTGAGGAGCGTTCAACAAACGAACATGGTTTGAATTACACGAGTTTTCCACAGGAGGTGCTTTCGCTTGTGCAGCTCGAAGCAGAGCCACACAGTTCTGATACTGCAGGCAGAGGCTTTTGGCATGTGGCCCATGTCAGTCTTGCGCATGAACAAACGCGCAGCAAGGATGGATTCCCATTGGATCGCCCGAGCTCAGTGTGGAGTACTGGCGTGACATGCCAGGCCAGCCTGTTTGGGTCTGAAGTCTTTGATGCCATGGGAGGGAACACACAAGGCTTCAGCTTACTGGACATCAAAGTCTCGGAGACGCTGACACTTTTGCACGATTGGTGGCTTTCTGAGGTGCCGCAGCCTCCGGCATGTTCTTGCTGAGAAGTTTTCTGGTTCTTCCCGGCATCTTCGACTGCATTTCCGGCCGCTGTGTTCTTTGCTTTGCACTGCTCACATGCTCAAAGGCAAAGGCATAGAGGCATTGGCGATCCAATAGGAGGATGTGGTAGCCCCTTTCCTAGCATAGGCATCTCACCAGCAATCGCCAGCAAGTTCTTGCACGACGACTCTTCTAGGACGGGCAAGCCATTGCATGGTTTGCAGAGTTCGCATGCCAGATGGTTGAGGAAAGCTGTAGAAGAGCGTGCTAGGAAGAAGTGGGACCCCTCGGTGGAGACGCTTGAAGATCCGGCGGACGAGGTGCGCTTCAGTTAGTAGGACCCCCTG